TCGAACATTCAAGGAAAGTATCAAATCTCTGAAGATCTGATGATTTTTAGATTCGGATCCCACGGGATATAATTAAATATTACATGATTGAGACATATACAGGGTGTCCCGGGAAGAAAGGTCCATATTCTGGGAGGTGATAGTATCGGTCATTTTAAGCAAACATGTTCATATGAACATATGTCCCTTCCAGAATATTAACCTTTTCTCCTGGAACACCCTGTATAATGAGATTTGTTCAATTTTTTTCCCGGGAGGGGAAAACATGATTTATTTCACACGTACGGACGACGAATTCGACGATGGCGTATCTTCGAGCGACGAATTCTCCGTTTTTCACGATTACTGCGAGTCTGAGACCTTCAGAGATCGTCGGAGCAAATCTCGCGGAGACTCGCGTCGGCCGGCTCAGCTTTTGCGTAACTGTTGACATTTCATTAGTCACCGGGGATTCAATGACCGATTCAATCGATTTTCACAATAGCCTGCAAAGTTTATCGTTTCGCGGTCTCGCGCGTGTCATTCCCGGCTTGGCGCGCCCCGTTCCTTAAAAATTACGAGTTAATTAACAGCGCGATTACGAGTGATAAGAATTTCGCGCGCGCATACGACGACCGCTCTCCCTCGGCGAGCCCCTTAAGAAAATTAAGTTCCGTCGTGCGAGAACAAAGTGGCGTGCGCGATTAAAATAGTGTGCGTTTCCATTTCGCGTGCGTAAACGGTGCGTAGAAAGTGCACGGCAAAACAGATTCAAGGTTTCGCGTGCAATATTATTCACGGACCCGCGAGCGATCGGCTTCTCTAAGACGACGACGACGACGACGACGACGAGAGAAGCGCGTGTTCACGTTGGGAACTTAGTTAGCCCGTCTCTTCCTAATGAACCGTGTCGCGTAATCGAATCCAGTGCCGACTACAAAGCGGCCATTAGAGGCGACGTGGAAAATCTGTTCGATACGACATCGAAAGAGTATCAATTCCATTATCCGATCCCGCTAATTTCCAGCGTGGAAGGTAATTCGACATTTGCAGATATTAATAGCGGGGAAACCTGTTCGTTTCCACATTTGATACGCAGTAGCAGCGACGATTACGCCGCGACAGTAATAATCACTTTCTTTTGTATGCTGTAACGCAATAAAATATTCATAATATCCGCCATTTCGAAAGTTCGGTTCGCAAGCGAGAGATAGTGTTTTGATTGTCGTGAAGATCGAAACGTACCCCTTTCTTTCGCGTCCAAAACTATTTCCACGATTAATTTCTCGTAAACTGAATCGACTAAATGCGACATAATTAGCCACAATCGTCTCTCCGTTCAATCGGGCTCTTTAAAAAGAGAGCTGTAACGCGATATCGAATTGTTCTTACAGTTAAGGGATGATTTCTCACGAGGCCGTCGAAATCATGGCCGACCCTTTTATCGTCACGGTGAAGTTTTAGCGACTTATGGCCGCGCCGTTTGTCTCGAATCTTTCTGATATCGCCGCGTGTCACATTTTTGCAAGTTACAGTTATACGTTGCACATCGCCATAACTGTATCCCGACGATGTGCCCATACTTGCTTATTACATGTATCTCACGATCACCGCGATGTACTTAATAGTCGACGGCCGTTCGCCAAAATTTGGCGCGTGCCGATACCGTGAAAGAGATTCACGAAATAGAATTCCGTATTTGATATTACGTTACAACCACAATAACCCATCAATTCCGAAGTAGATGAAGTTTGGTATCCGTGAAAGAAAAATATATAGCGGCTAATGCGAGAGCGTTTAGAAAAATAGAAACAGCTTTTATTTTTGCGATTAATCCGAGGATATCTTTTTTTGAAATGACGTTTTTTGAAATGACGTTTCTCTAATGAGAAGCTCGTAAGGTGCTCATTAGACAGTCACTGACTACCCATGCGCATTAATGTTTCTTGAAATATCGTAGAAAATTAACCGATAAAAAAATAACGATATAATTGTTGAAAACTCGCAGTACTATATCTTGGAAGTTGTCCGCAAGTGCGTAAGTATCAGCGGAATTTCGTAAAGTCCATGATTTGTGCCTGACGCGTTACGACGAGGAGATACGAGCGAGAATTACGTAGTCTGTGTTTATGCCTATCGATCGGCTCGAAAAACACGAAACCAACACTCGGCACGGATGCGGTGATTGCGATACGCTTCATTACAGCAATTATAATAACTCGCCTGTCAATTTCGCGCTCAAGTACCTTCCGTAATTCTAAAAAAAAAAAAAGAAACAGATGCGCTATGATCGGCAAAAATCAGCGAATTTACATTCGGCGAATTGCATCGGAACGAAACCACGCGCACATTTCAAACTGGATCGGTCTGATGGAATAAAATTTTTCTGCGCGATTATTTCTGAAAATTTGCCAGGTAGCTCGAACCGCGGGGTACCTTTCGTCGTGGACGTGCGCGGTGTTCTCGGCGTGCCGGGAACGTCCAGGTCGGTTTCCTCGATGTTGTCGCTCCACGCTCTCAGCGGCACGGGCTTCTTGATCATTATCGGGTTGTCGTCCTCGCCATCGTACATCTTCAGCTTCGCGCACTGGTTCGACACCCCGTTCATGGTTGACGATCTCTCGGGCGTTCGATCCTCGGCACTTGGTCCCGACTCGGAAAGATCAGGGAGGCTCTCGGGAACAGTTTAGGATTGTCGTCTAGAAAAGTCTTTAAATGTGAAACGACGTCGACAAGATTATTTGAACGCATCCGAATTTAAGGGGATGCTGGAGTGATTCTGCACTTTTGCACCTTTCGCGCTTAAAACTGTCTGTTTCGCGGAGACACTTGTGCAATATACAAATTAAATGGCTCACGCGTACAGATCGAAAGCAGCTCGCTATTCCGGTTAAATGAAAGAACAATATGGCGTCACTGAAACTAAGTTTGTAAGTCTAATAAAAATTAACAGCGAGCGACACACATACCACATGTACTGTACGTGTGTGTTGCTCACTATTGTTTCTTATTAGACTTACAAACTTAGTTTCAGTGATGCCATATTGTTCTTTCATTTGGCCGGAATGGCAAGCTGCTTTCGATCTGTACACGTAAGTCATTTCATTTGTATATTACACAAGTGTTTCCGCGAACTGATAGAAAGGTGCAAAAGTGCAGAATCACTCCAGCATCCCCTTAAAGATAGTTATTTCAACGTTAAGCAACAGTATTATCTATTATACCGTAAATAACAAGTAACGTCTTACGCGTTGATTTATTAGTTGTACAAGGGTCAGTTTTATACTTTAATCACAACGATAGCGGACCTGTTCATTTGTCGATTAGGACAGAAATTAAGTTTGTAGAATTTTACGATCCTTGGGTATTTGTATTGTGTATTTCAATTCGACTTCAATTCCTCCCCAGGTAGCCAGCTGACGTCACTTGTGACATTTCTGATAATTTCGACGTCAAAATGACGACAAGCGACGTCAGCTGGCTACCTGGGTCTTTTCATCCGACAAAGCGTAACATAGCCATTGAATCACCAAAGAGGCTCCCTCCCTCTTCGCTAGACATCACTCGCAGTAACCGCTTGACATTTAACATTTGTCGTGTCGAGAACTTTAACTCCGCGTCACGCGCACGAAAAGCACAGGATTTAAATGCGACGGAACGGAATTCGGGCCGAATAAAAATAATCGAACTTACTTGGTCCCGAGGACGAGAGCGAGGAGAATTTCGGAAGCTGCGCGCCGGCGAGGGCCCGCACGCGTGACGCACGCGAGGACGGCACGTGCGGAGCAGGACGGGTGGAGAGAGACGGTGCTGGGAGAGAAGCACCGGCACCGCGTGCGACGAACGACGGATACGCGGAGGAGCCGCGACGCGGACGATTCTCAGGGCAGGCGGAGCGCGACTGAGCCGAGCGTGGACCGAGCGACGGTGGTATCGGCGGCGAGAGCGAACGTCACCCGCGAGTCCTTCTGTATATATGCGCGCGGCCTCCGTGTCTCTCTCTCTCTCTCCCTCTGTCTCTCCCTCCGACCGCTACTGCTACTGTATCACAAAGAGCCGCGAGACCACCTCGTGGCGGAGATTGTGGGGGAGAGAGAGAGAGGGATGATTTTCGCCTCCTCTTTGATACGGAAACGCGTGCCGGAGTGCGGTGCGTCTGGACGTTGCAGCAAGCCATTAGAATATCCGTGGATATCAAGTCATTGGAATATTATCGAGAATCGCATCGAAGTAATTGAGAATCTCGGTTTATATTGCCGAGTTCCCCAGCGGAAAAATTTCTATAATTTTGTAAAAATTAGTACAAAACTTTGCTAGTTTTAAAAATTTGAAAAACAAAATCTTAAAGAATTAAAACATCTGCTTACTTGTAGAACATTACAAAAATTAACAAAAGTGTTCCAATCCTAGCATTTTCATGTTGATTTTTATAACACTTTTTCAATTTATGTAGAATCTCTTAGATTCTGGCAGTATATTTGATTTTATTGTAGAATTTTGTAGAATTATTTTCGGTAGAAAACCCTAGCGGAAAACATTTCTATAAATAACTACAGAAAATTGACTTGAAATAGAAATTTGTAGAAATTTTTATGTCTTCGTTGAAACATTTCTTTCTTTTTGTAAAAATATCTACGAAATAGTACCACAAGTTACAATGTTCTCAAGTCGAGAAGTTATTGCAAGTGGTATTTCATAAAAATGTACAATTTTGTAAAAATTAGTACAAAACTTTGCTAGTTTTAAAAATTTGAAAAACAAAATCTTAAAGAATTAAAACATCTGCTTACTTGTAGAACATTACAAAAATTAACAAAAGTGTTACAATCCTAGCATTTTCATGTTGATTTTTATAACACTTTTTCAATTTACGTAGAATCTCTTAGATTCTGGCAGTATATTTGATTTTTTTGTAGAATTTTGTAGAATTATTTTCGGCAGAAAACCCTAGCGGAAAACATTTCTATAAATAACTACAGAAAATTGACTTGAAATAGAAATTTGTAGAAATTTTTATGTCTTCGTTGAAACATTTCTTTTTTTGTGTAGAAATATCTACGAAATAGTACCACAAGTTACAATGTTCTCAAGTCGAGAAGTTATTGCAAGTGGTATTTCATAAAAATGTACAATTTTGTAAAAATTAGTACAAAACTTTGCTAGTTTTAAAAATTTGAAAAACAAAATCTTAAAGAATTAAAACATCTGCTTACTTGTAGAATATTACAAAAATTAACGAAAGTGTTCCAATCCTAGCATTTTCATGTTGATTTTTATAACACTTTTTCAATTTATGTAGAATCTCTTAGATTCTGGCAATGTATTTTATTTTTTGTAGAATTTTGTAGAATTATTTTCGGCAGAAAACCCTAGCGGAAAACATTTCTATAAATAACTACAGAAAATTGACTTGAAATAGAAATTTGTAGAAATTTTTATGTCTTCATTGAAACATTTCTTTCTTTTTGTAAAAATATCTACGAAATAGTACCACAAGTTACAATGTTCTCAAGTCGAGAAGTTATTGCAAGTGGTATTTCATAAAAATGTACAATTTTGTAAAAATTAGTACAAAACTTTGCTAGTTTTAAAAATTTGAAAAACTAAATCTTAAAGAATTGAAACATCTGCTTACTTGTAGAATATTACAAAAATTAACAAAATTGTTTCAATCCTAGCATTTTCATGTTGATTTTTATAACACTTTTTCAATTTATGTAGAATCTCTTAGATTCTGGCAATGTATTTTATTTTTTTTGTAGAATTTTGTAGAATTATTTCCGACAGGGTTTCTTAACATCTCGTGCTCTTTCCTCCCTTATACATCGCACTTGTGGTTGACAATACGGAAATTGTAATAAGACTCAGCACCGCCTGATCCTGGAGATTCGAATGCATCTGAGATAACAGAATAGAATTATGCTCTCTACACACAGAAAAATATTATTGTACAGTCAAGAAAAGTAATTGCTCAGTTTATTTTATTCCGTTTAAGTAATAGTTTGCTTCAACAAAGAATATTTTCTTAATAATAGTTTTAAGATATACTTGTTACTAGTCTTAGAAAAGCTTGCCATCTTATACTCAAAGAAAGAATTTATTCTTCTTCGAAGAAAATTATAAAACTTATTGAAGAATTCCGTATGCTTCTTTTAATAAAATCAGAAGAAACAAAATTGTTTTGCTTCAAACAATTCTATATATTCTTGTTTCAAGTACTAGACTTATTAAGAACCAGAATATGTTTTGAGTAAATATAACACTTGCGACGACATTATGATGATAGATTTGTGGATATATAAACTTATCAAATACTTGGAACAAATAATATTTACTTACAGGTAGTATATATTTTTCTGTGTGTAGTCCCTCGGATTTTCGCCATCTTTTGCCTTTGTGTATTTTGCATTTACCCAAAACGTTTTTCCCATCTATTCTATCAGAAACTTCGCGTAAATGTTATAAAACATTATTGTAACGTTAAATTCTTAAAAAATCCAGATCGCGTGCTTGTCTAAAAGACTTCTTTAAGACGGCATTAAGTTGTCTTTTAGACATGCGCGTATCTTAAAAATATCTTTATGGCGTCGTTTAAATGCATTGCTATCTGGGAAACCTTTTGGGCGCGTCGGGCGAGCGGGAAAATTTTATCGAATTGAGTCAGAGGGTCGATTACAAGTTTAAGACACACGTGTCGTGATTCGTTCTCAGTATTACACGTTCCTTTTTAAATATCGCGAGTCACAATCGTCAACGCGTCCGCAAGTCGAATCCGCTTCTGGCAGATCTTGTTTTTCGGAATCCGTCATCTTCCTAGCGGAAAAATTTCTATAAATAACTACAAAAATTGATTTAAAATAGAAATTTTTATATCTTCGTTGAAACATTAATTTTTTTTTGTAAAAATATCTACGAAATACCACAAATTACAATGTTCTCAAATCAAGAAATTATTGCAAATAGTGTTTCATATGTACAATTTTGTCAAAATTAGTACAACTTTGCTAGTTTAAAAAATTTGAGAAAGCAAAATCCTAAAGAATTAAAACATCTGCTTACTTGTAGAATATTACAACAATTAACGAAGTGTTTCAACTCTAGCATTTCCATGTTGACTTTTATAACACTTTTAAAATTTACGTAGAATTTCTTAGAATCTGGCAGTATATTTAATTTTTTTTGTAGAATTTTGTAGAATTATTTCCGGCAGGGTGCAAGGGGCATCGTGCCTTTCGGGACTCTCCTCGAGCGCTTCAAATTTGTTTAATAATTACCAACCGTCTCGAGTTTATTTTCCTGTTCTTCTATTTGTCTGTTTTTCTATTCGGGCCGTTGTGTCTGTATACGTCCGTGTCCCGAAACATTAAACAATAATCCGTCCGTGGTCTCGAACTCGAGTAGGTTTTTGGAGGAATATGCGACGATATATTATAATTGCCACAGCCTAATATAAAGATATAATAATAAAATTTCATAATTAGCGAATTGATTAAATAATTGGTTGACAATTCTTATTGATTCCGCAAGGGATTGCTTAATCGATTGATACAAATCGGAAGAGGAAACGAGGACTTTTTGTGAGTAACTCTATGAATTCTTACGTGGAGGCGCCCAATGATATTAGGCTATCTCGTTTCGTCGGCAGGGAAACCCCAGCTTCTTTCATGTCAGCTTGAGGTATAATCAGAAAAATCTTTAGGGAATTGAATCCGGGATTTCCACCTGATTTCTTTCTACGAGGGACATGCGCGACCACCACTGAAATGTTAACTCGACATTCTTTCCTGCGTTTGTCACCGGAGAATGATATGAATTATCCAGACAGTTAAAAGCTTTGTTAAAATAATTCTGCGTCTGTGCATGCATGAGAATACAATGGCATAAAATTTATCTTTAGGAACACTTTTAAAAAGATACACAGTAAAAAAATCGTGTGTTAAAATGTTACAATTTTCTTGAGTTACCAAGATTCAATTATTTCAACGTGAAATTAACATAAAACAGGATACGTTATTATTTTCGTAACATTGTTATGTGTTATATTTATGTTACATAATAACTTGACACTTTATGTATGTCAGTAAAAAATTGAATATCACTTTGAGTTCTGTTGACACAACTACTTCACAAGATCAAGCAAAACATGTAATAGCGACATTTCTTAAAAATTATTTTAACTATTCGTACAGTTTACTTATCCTGTTTTTATTACATCGCACACTTAAGGTTAAAAGAACATAAACATAAATGTGAAGTATAGTGTTAATCAATTAACATTTGTAATTTGTGAAAAAGTAAAACGCACGATGAATGTTGTTTCAACTTAAAATTTAGTGCGGACTTTTTGGGACGTGAGAAAAATGTTAACGTTAACATTTTATTTTTTACTGTGTCAGATTCTAGTCTAGCCCGAGATTAGATTCCTGCAATTAAGATTCCATTGATAATTTATACAATATCCGAGATGTATGCAAAATGTGAGAAACGAAGAATGTGCAACGGGCGTAGCAAAATGATCGACTTCGTGCTCTCCTTTAATGTAAGATAATGTAGTAAATATATATATATATATACTATATATATATATATAAAACAAGAAGAATATTATTGTCGCCAATTGATTAAAAACAGGAAAAAAAATTGTTTGATGACGTTAAACTAAATTAAACTGGCTAAGGTGGTTTACTTTAACAATTTATTCCAACGTTTCGACCATCCGGATTGTGGTCCTTTTCAAGGAAGTATCTACAAAACATTGGGGAAACTTATCTGTAAGCCGTTCGTATAACAATTGGTAGTACCCTGCCAGAGATAGTTCTACAAAATTCTACAAAAAACTTAAATACAACTGCCAGAATCTAAGAAATTCTACGTAAATTTAAAAAGCGTTATAGAAAATCAGCACGAAAGTGCTGGAATTGGAACACTTTGTTAATTTTTGTAATATTCTACAAGTAAGCAGATGTTTTAATTCTTTAAGATTTTGCCGTTTCTCAAATTTTTTGTACTAACAAAGTTGTACTAATTTTTACAAAATTGTACATTTGCATGAAATACTGCTTGCAATAATTTCTTGATTTGAGAACATTGTAACTTGTGGTACTATTTCGTAGATATTTTTACAAAAAAATATATGTTTTAACGAAGACATAAAAGTCACAACAAATTTCTATTTTAAGTCACTTTTTGTAGTTATAGAAATTTTTTCCGCTAGGGTATACGAGATGAGATTCGTGTATATGTATATAAAATACGAACTAAATGCAAAATAATTAAACGTACGATGTGCACGCCCTATCTATATTTTTGACATGTGTCAATCACGGTGCCTGTCTAATACACGCCGGTCATACTCGAGATGATAAAGAGAGAACCGCGCGAGTTTCGCTACGTGGGAGACCTTTGGTTAAATAGCATTTACGGTGATACTTATTCGAGTCGAGATGTAACGATTAGATGACGGAGCAAATACCGTTTCATCCGAGTGACGTATATGCACGCAGTCGGTAGTGCCCGGAGTATCTCCTGTGCACTCGAGCCAAAGAGGGAAATAAGAGAAACAGGAATAGGGTAAATAGGCTTCGCGAGAGAGCCGGAAAGTATCTACGTCATGGTGAATCCCGACGTCAAACAACCGGTTCTTATATGCAGAGCGGCGCCTTTTCCTCAAGAGAAAAAGGCATATACGTTTAGGCCACGCTCGTCTCCTCGATATCTTATTTTCAACCCTTGCGACATACGTAAAGGATTACGTCTGTACACTCCCTATCTCTCGGGCTAAAAAATTTCTATATCGTTCTCTTTCTCGTAGGAAAAATATCTGCAAAATACGACAATGTCCTTTTTCCGTTTAAACTGTGCGAAAATTATAGCAGCTATAATCGCGAACAAAGTATTGCTGTTGAGATGAGCTCGCAATAAACGAAATTATAAGTTACAAGATAATATTAACGTGCAAAACTTAGTACACATTATAAGCGACCTTTTATCATTCACTGACACTTAATTTAGTTACCATTTCCTTCGAGAGACAGATTTATCTTTATCTAGCGAAGGATAATATTAAGCCCACTTTAGACAATCTATAAACCACGTCAGAAATCAAGACGCAATTCTATTTATAATCTTGCGCGAATTATAAATGGTCTAAGACGTGTCTTAAACTCGCATTAAGGTCTCTCGACATTTGATATTTGTTGATAGTTATCTCTCTATATCGAGAAGAAACAGATACGTCGCTCGAGTGAAAATTTTCATGAAACTCACATCTTACGTTACATCCCGTGTGCACCGAGGGCAGCGCCAAGACGAGCCGGAAAATCTGATTCAATGCGCGAAGACTGATATACGATTCCTGCACAAGTGCGCTTCACCGTCATACTTGGTTAGACACAAGGCCGGATAATATCGCGTCAAAGGATTGTTCTCACCCTCGATAGTGAAAACGCGCATTACCGGAGCCGGCCTCGATACTTTTTGTCCGTGCATACCTGCGTCTTTTTGCCATTCAGCGTATGAGAATTCATAGCGGAGCAACTCGGATTCTTCGCGGCAGGTTTCCTACGCGGACATTCCTCACAGAAGCGAGTAACACGAAGGAACTTGCGGATCTCTTCCTTGTAAATTTAACATTTTTCCACGAGTGGAATTTTTCTTCATGAATTAAACTACCACAATTATAACGACAGTTCTAACTCTTGATAATAATTATTAACGTATCGTCCTTCAGTTTAAAAATACCTTGCATAAATATGTAATATCTTCATCCTTCTACTCCCTACTTAGAGAAGCACGCGTTTATTGTTTTAATTCGACACTTTCTATTTCTTTTCGAATAATTAAAGATATACCTTAAAAAAGTTCAATGTTCCAGTCCCATAGGCCGCTCTATTCAATTTCTCTTCTTATTCGTGAGATTTTTAAATTTATAAATGCGTTCGCGACAAGTAAGAAACAACGCCACAATTAATTCTGAAGAATAAAAAACACTCGACGTGTAAATTTGATACTGCATCGTCCTCGGAAGTTGCAGGTCTCCCTCTTCGTTCGATTTCGGGTCTAAGGAAAAAGGGAGTATCGTGAAACCGCGCTTTACGGTAGAGCGGATAAAACGACACGCGTTAAATACGGTTTTTTTTTACGACAAGCACGACCTTCCGCGGAAGTGCAAAGTCGAATAAATTATATATCTCGTGCGAGAGTAATCGCAAAATGAGCGACGTGTCGCACATCTAATCTATGCGATCGTCGTCGGCGATCGGCAAAAATCGAGTGATTTTCCATCGCGGAGGAATTTTACGTAAACGGAATCCCCTCCGGACGTAGAGTATAGACACGTTGAATTAACAGGCTGGCTAGACGATTCTGACATATTTATTAAAACTGTAATTTGGTTTGCCTTTCTCGTGAATGACGCGTACAGCACAGCAAAGTTACCCAGGGAAAAATGCGTAATTACGCACGCAATTCGTATACAACACGTTGCTTTTTTTCCTCTGAAACATCGTGAACATATTTTTTTCTCTTTTTCACTTCTTCGTTGCTTCGTTTTTCCAATATAGTTTTTCGTTTTATCAACGATCTTCAAGTACCTGTATTTTTGTTGGTAAAAATAAGATTGCGTGTTTAACTAATGAATAGACACATAATATATAAATTAGGAATACTATTGTTACACATGTTACATAAGGAACAGATATACAAGTAGATAACTGTAGATTGTAGAAGATATAACTGCCAAAACTGTAAATTGATATTAATGTTGAATCATGTATAAAAATGAAAGATTACATAAGATATTTGAATTCAACCTTTAAAAAGAATGAAAAGAATATAGGTATTACTAAAATTTAAAGAATTTTTAATTATACAAAATATACAATTAACACTATCTTAAACGTTTGTTTGTTATATTACGAAGCAACCAACGACTTTTAATTAGTAAAAAGAATTAATTATGAAGTTTACTATACGTGTAACAATATTAAATTAAATCATATGTATACATTAAACAACTCAAGTAATGCTAAAACATATTTAATTCAACATTGTATTTAATATAGTTTTGACATAAATCTTTCTCTCACTTTTCGACACGTAAGTAATCTTTATTAAACTCTAATAACTTTACAACATTCAGATTTTATCTTGAAATATGTATAGTGAAATAAATATGTATGAAGTACGAAGTTTATGTTAAATCACAAAAATATTAATATCATAATCACACGTAAATATAAAGCGTATCAAAAAGAAAATATTGTCAACGAGAATTATATCTCTATTTTACGGTAGACGATATCATCTCGAATTTAATATTATGCTTATTCAGTTGCTCGACCAGAGATGTTTTACCAAATGCAGCACCGGGAGTGAGCACGCCTCCGCTGTAAAAACACAATAACGTGAAAATAAAGCTGAAGTTTAACATGTAAATATATTATTGTGTTTTACTTTCTTATATTAAAAATTCGAAAGCTGCGAAATATTCCAGAAATTACTGTAGAGTAAACGCAAAAATTATTAATGACTAACTCACTTGTCAGGCATTTTGCCAGCCTCGTTAAGGATTGTTATTGCTGATAAGATCGCCATAATACTCGCCGCTTCGTATGGAGCAGAAACACCAGAAACTTTGGTGATTACTGTCTTATTAGGTGGATTTATGTGTTTGTCGGTAGGTTCGGCCAACTTTTCGGTCCATCCACGGGCTTTGATCGTCACAGAAAATGGCATCGATTTCCACAGTTCCGGATCCGGATTTTCGTGAGTGATAAAACCGAATGTGAATAAAGACGGGTACTGCAAATATCACGTTCAATTATCCTACATTGTCTAAATAATTTTAACAATCGCAAATATTTCGATACGTACTTTCAAAAGTAACTTACGACCGCACGCTATGGGAGCCAAAAGAGACAGCATTATCCCAAAAATGAAGAGCATCAACAAGCCAAAGAGAGACCTAATAATAAACGTGCATTAGGAGAAATTACTTTTCAACATTTGTGACATTTTTATCGACGTAAACTAACGTAATGGTAGTATAAACTTGAACTTGCGCAGGCCTCTCTTTGTACTTCTCATACAAAAATCGCTGTGTACGAAGAGCTAGTGAACGATCGCAACTCTGTAACGGTACAGACCATCCTTCAGAAACATCACTTTGGTGCACCATACCTCTGGCAATAAACAGAATTTTAAATGCTGTTTATCAGTAAAATCATTATTTCTTCTTGTTTTTTAGACAACGTATAAGATTTGAATAATTTCTAAGTATTTGAAAAAGCTCTGACAAAATGATTTATAATTGTACACGTAATGTTTAGATATATACATACCTTGATTTCAATTTCGGCGTGAATTCAGGCAGTTTGGTAGGAAACAATTTGTTGCGTAATTCTTGTAATTCGTTTGTACGAGACACAAAATATAATATTGCAGACTCCCAAGTTGCATAATTCAAATACGGACCTTTGTTATCAGTGATAGTTAACATCTTTATGTATACTTCAACATCGTTGACTTCTCCTCCAAATTTTTCCTGAGTGAAAAGGATTCCCAAATCACTAGGAATACAATCAAATCCGCAAGCACTCACTACATAAATTCCAGCTTCTTTAGCTGCCTCGCTATATTTCAATTGCATTTCCATCATAAACTGTAAAATATTGAAATTATCAATCAACTGTTATTGTACTGTTGCAGATGTATATTGAACTTACCTGTTCTTCAGCAGTGACATCCACATAATGAGTGCGAGTAGCAATGCATGCTTTAACAACTGGCTCTCCATAAAGTCTATATGGACCACAACAATTAATGAGTACTCTTGCTTGCTCTGTCATTTTCTTGAGAGATTCCTCATCTTTTACGTCAGCCACAAGAATAGGTACATTCTCTAAAAAAATATACATGTAGTATGAAAGTTAATAACAAATAAAGTTGCTCCCTGTCTTTTGGAATAATTAACTCCAAGTCGTAAATGTACCAATATCTGAAGCGAATTCTTTAACAACCGCTTCCAGTGCTTCCTGTCTGCGACCAGCGACGCCAAACTTCATTTTCTGTTCTTTGCGCATATGTGTCACACTCTTCACTACATGTTTTCCAGTATATCCAGTGGCACCAAATATTACTATATCCAAACGGTCATTCGCCATTTTCCCGCAATCTATATGCAAACTAAAATCATTATAATCTTATAACTAAAGCCAGCTGTACGTTTAATTTATCTTGCATGAATATTATAAACCTTGCCCACGAAACATACGTTTATTATATAATAGTTAATAACTGCGTAAGTGACATTATAAATTATAAACAGTTATACACACACACACACACACACACACATATATATATATATATATATATATATATGTGATTGATATATATATATGTATATCTATTTTCGGTTGCATTTTTGTATTGCAATTGGCAATTGCGTGCAATTCTATGACACGTAATATCGGCGTATCGGCAGAGGAAAATAGAAGATCATAGTTCAAGTACTACATTAGATATAAACTGTGTAACATACATCATGCAAAATATAAACTATGTACGTATATCAATGTCTCACGATAATCAACGCAAATTAGCAACCAGACAGATCAAATCTTTCTTGTGATAAAGAGTAGGTATCCTCCCACGAGGCGATTTGCGAAGATACGTACATACGTTTACCTGGTATGACTAGGCGGCACTGGTAGCAGTCGAGTGATGATGCGATTTCACAGCCATGTCGATCATCGACGAAAATGGCATCATCGTTGATACGAATTCGCTGGAGGAACCAGCGCTGGAGAGAGGGGCGTTCGAGCGCGCCTATTATTGGACAGACACACACTTTTAATCGCTGCCGCTCTCGTTGCGTTTGAAACGTTATCGCGCAAATGCGAATCATTAGATGAGAAACTCCTGTTGTCGCTCGAATAACTTGACAATTATTGACTCCGAATATTTAAAAATATAAACTATACATATCTGTTATTGTTATAAGTGGTCAGTGTCCTCACAAATACGTCTTACTTTTTTAATGCATGCCACTGTATACACAAACACATGTTGTAGTTAAGTCCTAATAGTTATACAAGTAAAATAGTTAAACAAAATGTAACTTTATACAGGGTGTGTGAGACCAGCCGTATACCCCTTTTATTTCGGAAACAGAGCATTTTAGAGAAAAATGTTTCAGACAAAAGGTTTATGGTCCAGGGAGACACAAGATGGTATTATTAATTTGACCTTGAACAGTTGCTTGAATGTCACATGAAGGTCACCTTCAATTTTTTTAATGGAACCCATAATTGTTTATTATACTAACTTATTCTACTAATTTATATGAAAAACTTTTGTCTGAAACACTTTTGCGATTTGCCTAACAGTTTTTGAGATATTCAAGAGAAAATTTGTAACGATCGTTACCGAAAAAAGTAACGGCCTTACAAGTAACGCGTTACTTCCCAACCCTAGTCTATGGTGTGTACATATGTATACATACATACATCAATACATGTATATCTTATAAATGATTTATTTTTAAAATATCTTGAAACATGTGTATAGCAGAACCACTATAGATCCAACAAATTGTAAAACTGTTAGTATCAAAGTCAAATAATAAACAACTAGTAAGAATACTCTTAAAAGTCGCCAGCAGTAATTAACAACATCAGTGATTTTTATCGACCATATCTGGCAATTAAATTCTTATTGCGAAAAATATTACCCCAGCCAGGATTCGAACCTGGGACCTCCCTAGTTGTCAAATAATAAAGTGTATTAAAAAGAATCCTGTCGGGAAAATTGCATAGAACTTTTGTATTTGTCTCTATTTTACAGTACACGATATCACCTCGAATTTAATATTATGCTTATTCATTTGCTCGATCAGAGATGTTTTACCAAATGCAGCACCGGGAGTGAGCACGCCTCCGCTGTGAAAAACACAATAACACGAAAATAAAGCTGAAGTTTAACATGTAAATATATTATTGTGTTTTAATTTCTTATATTAAAAATTCAAAAGCTGCGAAATATACAAGAAATTACTGTAGAGTAAACACAAAAATTATTAATGATTAACTCACTTGTCAGGCATTTTGCCAGCCTCGTTAAGGATTGTTATTGCTGATAAGATCGCCATAATACTCGTCGCTTCGTATGCAGCAGAAACACCAGAAACTTTGGCGATTAATGTCTTATTAGGTGGATTCATGTGTTTGTCGGTAGGTTCGGCCAACTTTTCGGTCCATCCACGGGCTTTGATCGTCACAGAAAAGTGCATCGATTTCCACAGTTCCGGATCCGGATTTTCGTGAGTGATAAAACCGAATGTGAATAAAGACGGGTACTGCAAATATCACGTTCAATTATCCTATATTGTCTAAATAATTTTAACTATCGCAAAATATTTCGATACATACTTTCAAAAGTAACTTACGACCGCACGCTATGGGAGCCAAAAGAGACAACATCATCCCAACAATGAAAAGCATCAACATGCCAAAGAGAGACCTATAATACACGTGCATTAGGATAAATTACTTTTCAACATTTGTGACATTTTTATCGACATGAACTAACGTAAACGTAGCATAAACTTGAACTTGCGCAGGCCTCTCTTTGTATTTCTCATACAAAAATCGCTGTGTACGAAGAACTAGTGGACGATCGCTACTCCGAAACGGTACAGACCATCCTTCAGAAACATCACTTTGGTGCACCATACCTCTGGCAATAAACAGAATTTTTAATGCTGTTCATCAGTAAAATCATTATTTCTCCTTGTTTTTTAGACAACGTATAAGATTTGAATAATTTCTAAGCATTTGAAAAAGCTGACAAAATATGATTTATAATTGTACACGTAATGTTTATGTATGTATATATATATATATACACCTTGATTTTAATTTCGGCGTGAATTCAGGCAGTTTGGTAGGAAACAATTTGTTGCGTAATTCTTGTAACTCGTTTCTATGAGCCATACTATATATTAAAGTTTCCCAAGTTCCATAATTTATATATGGGCCTTTGTTATCAGTGTTGGTTGACCACATCTTCATGTATACTTCAACATCATTGACTTCTCCTCCAAATTTCTCCTGCGTGAAAACGATTCCCAAATCACAAGGAACACAGTCAAAGCCACAAGCACTCACTACGTAAATTCCAGCTTCTTTAGCTGCCTCGTTATATTCCAATTGCATTTCCACCATAAACTGTAAAATATTGAAATTATCAATCAACTGTTATTGTACTGTTGCAGATGTATAGTGAACTTACCTGTTCTTCACCAGTGACATCCACATAATGAGTGCGAGTAGCAATGCACGCTTTAACAACTGGCTCTCCATAAAGTCTATATGGACCACAACAATTAATGAGTACTCTTGCTCGCTCTGTCATTTTCTTGAGAGATTCCTCATCTTTTACGTCAGCCAGAATAATAGGTACATTCTCTAAAAAAACATACATGTAGTATAAAAGTTAATGACAAATAAAGTTGCTCCCTGTCTTTTGGAATAATTAACTCCAAGTCGTAAATGTACCAATATCTGAAGTGAATTCTTTAACAACCGTTTCCAGTGCTTCCTGTCTGCGACCAGCGACACCAAACTTCATTTTCTGTTCTTTGCACATATGTGTCACATTCTTCACTACATGTTTTCCAGTATATCCAGTGGCACCAAATATTATGATATCCAAACGGTCATTCGCCATTTTCCCGCAATCTATAGCAAACTAAAATCATTAATATCTTATAACTTAAGCCAACGGCACACGATACTATTTCTTTTCTCCAATCCAATAGGAAAATTAGTGTCGTGTGCCGTTGGCTTTAGTTAACTCAATGCCTTCTATTAACATAAATTTATAAAAAGTAAAGAAATATCTAATATCTATACATTTATCACAAATTCATTAACGTCTCTATTATAAAATTAAATAAGTACGCTAAAGTAAGCAGTGGAAACAAGTTACTAAATAATGTTTATAGCCAGCTGTACGTTTAATTTATCTTGCATGAATATTATAAACCTTGCCCACGAAACATACGTTTATTATGATGATTATATATGATATAATGATTAATAACTGCGTAAGTGACATTATAAATTATAAGCAATTACACACACACGCACATACATATACATATATATATATATAATATATAATATATATTATATATATAATTGGTATATGTATGTATATCTATTTTTGGTTGCATTTTGTATCGCAATCGGCAATTGCGTGCAATTCTTTGACACGTAATGTCGGCGTATCTTCAGAGAAAAAAGAGTATCATAGTTCAAGTGCTACATTAGGTATAAACTGTGTAACATACATCATACAAAATATAAACTATGTACGTATATCAATGTCTCACAATAATCAACGCAAATTAGCAACAAGACAGATCAGATTTTCCTCGTGATAAAGTGTAGGTGTCCTCCCACGTGGCGATTTGCGAAGATACGTACATACGTTTACCGGGTGTGACTAGACGGCACTGGCAGCAGGCGCTTGTGACTATCGAGTGTCCATGTGTTTCGACAACCGTGTCGACCATCGACTAAAATGGCATCGTCGTTGATACGTACTCGCTGGAGGAAGCAGCGCTGGAGAGAGGGGCGTTCGAGCGCGCCTATTTGGACCGACGTATACCTTTAATTGCTGCCGTTCTCGTTGCGTTTGAAACGTTATCGCACAAATGGAAATCGTTAGACGAGGAATTACTATTGTCGTTCGAATAACTTTACAATCATTGGCTCCGAATAACTTGACAATTATTGGCTCCGAATATTTAAAAATATGAACTATACATATCTCTTAATGTTATAAGTAATCTGTGTCCTCACAAATACGTCTTGCTTTTTGAATGCATGCCACTGCGAAATGTCACGCCATATTATTTGTGAAATATAATCGCTTCCCATACAGTATAAAAAGGCAACTTTCAGACGTCTTTAAGTCGTCTTTATGTATGTCTAAAAGACGACTTAAAGAAGTCGCTTAAGGATGCCTTTTAGACACGCGTGCTGTATTAGTTATTACTTAAAAACTATTACAGCCTCGACATTTTTGCTTAGGTAAATATATAATGGCTTAAACAATCGTACATATACATATCGAATAAACATTCATATATATAGAATAATCATGACGTTAATGTTTATCGAAAATTAATACCTGAAATTGGAAAAATGGTCTTACAATTAGTTCGCCGTATAATAGGCTTGTTTTCTGTTACTAGAATGTTGAACTAGTGCAATAAATTTGAGTAAGACAAGTATATTTTTCTCATTCTAGCTTACTGCACCGGTACAACAGTAGAAAACAAGCCTGTCGCCTCACGATGTGATAATAGACACTAAATATCCGGCACCAAGATGACTGCGACGTAGATTCCCCTCACCTTTCAGAACCAACTCAACGCAACGATAAAGAGTACTTTTTAAGCTCCGTTGTATATTTCCAACGTCCATGATGTATGCATATGTATACATACATACATCAATACATGTATATCTTCTAAATGATTTATTTTTTAAATATCTTGAAACATGTATGCAGCAGAATCTCCACCCACCTCCACCCATCAATTTGTAAAACTGGTAGTATCAAAGTCAAATAATAAAGTGTATTAAAAAGGATCCTGTCGGCGAAAATTGCAGAGAACTTTTGTATTTGTCTCTATTTCACGGTAGACGATATCACCTCGAATTTAATATTATGCTTATTCAGTTGCTCAACCAGAGATGTTTTACCAAATGCAGCACCGGGAGTGAGCACGCCTCCGCTGTAAAAACACAATAACATGAAAATAAAGCTGAAGTTTAACATGTAAATATATTATTGTGTTTTACTTTCTTATATTAAAAATTCGAAAGCTGCGAAATATTCCAGAAATTACTGTAGAGTAAACGCAAAAATTATTAATGACTAACTCACTTGTCAGGCATTTTGCCAGCCTCGTTAAGGATTGTTATTGCTGATAAGATCGCCATAACACTGGTCGCTTCGTATGCAGGAGACACACCGGAAACTCTGGTGATTACTGTCTTATTAGGTGGATTCGTGTGTTTGTCGGTAGGTTCGGCCAACTTTTCGGTCCATCCACGGGCTTTGATCGTCACAGAAAATTGCGTCGATTTCCACAGTTCCGGATCCGGATTTTCGTGAGTGATTAAACCGAATGTGAATAAAGACGGGTACTGCAAATATCACGTTCAATTATCCTATATTATCTAAATAATTTTAACAATCGCAAATATTTCGATACATACTTTCAAAAGTAACTTACGGCCGCACGCTATGTGTGCCATGAGCAATAATATTAGTCCGCCAATGGCCAACATCATCAAGTTAAAGAAAGATCTAATAATAAACGTACGTTAGCAAAAATTACACCATTTCTCAACATTTATGACTTTTTTATCGATATATACTAACCCAATCGTACCATAATATTGAACTTGCGCAGGCCTCTCTTTGTAATTCTCATAGAAGAATCGCTGTGTACGAAGAGCTAGTGGTCGATCGGGATTGTACCAAAGGGGTACAGACCATCCTTTAGAAACATCACTTTGATGCACTATACTTCTGGCAATGAACAGAATTATTAATAACTCACAAATAGATTTAACGTCGCCGGTAATATAAAACCAATGATGTAGTTTTTAAAAAACGACCTACACTGGTCAATGTTTTTATTAAAAAAAAGGGTCCGAATCCGGGACCGAAACGTAGTTTGTTTTTTAAATAAATACATTGGCCAGTGTAGGTCGTTTTTCAAAAACTACATATCATTAGAATTAGTAATGCTGTTTATCAACAGTATAATCACCGTTTCTTCTTTTTTTAGATTCACAAATCACAATTTATAATTGTACACGTAATGTTCAGACATATATGTATATATACCTTGATTTTAATTTCGGCGTGAGTTCAGGTAGTTTGGTAGGATACAATTTGTTGCGTAATTTTTGTAATTTGTCTGCATAAGCCAGAATATATATTGCGGACTCCCAAGTTCCATAATTCAAATACGGACCTTTGTTGTCAGTGCTGGTTGACCACATCTTCATGTATACTTCAACATCATTGACTTCTCCTCCAAATTTCTCCTGTGTGAAAACGATTCCCAAATCACTGGGAACACATTCAAAGCCGCAAGCACTCACTACGTAAATTCCAGCTTCTTTAGCTGCCTCGTTATATTCCAATTGCATTTCCACCATAAACTGTAAAATATTGAAATTATCAATCAACTGTTATTGTACTGTTGCAGATGTATAGTGAACTTACCTGTTCTTCACCAGTGACATCCACATAATGAGTGCGAGTAGCAATGCACGCTTTAACAACTGGTTCTCCATAAAGTGTATATGGACCACAACAATTAATGAGTACTCTTGCTTGCTTTGTCATTTTCTTGAGAGATTCCTCATCTTTTACGTCAGCCAGAATAATAGGTACATTCTCTAAAAAAACATACATGTAGTATAAAAGTTAATGACAAATAAAGTTGCTCCCTGTCTTTTGGAATAATTAACTCCAAGTCTTAAAAATGTACCAATATCTGAAGCGAATTCTTTAACAACCGTTTCCAGAGCTTTCTGTCTGCGACCAGAGACACCAAACTTCATTTTCTGTTCTTTGCACATATGTGTCACATTCTTCACTACATATTTTCCAGTGTATCCAGTGGCACCAAATATTATTATATCCAAACGGTCATCCGCCATTTTCCTGCAACCTATAGGAAACTAATCATTAATATCTTATAATTTAAGGGGTCTTCCCAGTGTGACGGCTCAAAAAATTATCAAATTTTTTTTGTAGAATCTTGAAGTTTACTCTTCAAAAACATTATCCCAAAGCGATTTATCCCAATTCGAAATATTAAGAAAGTTGTCAGCCTTAATCGTGAGCGGCGCCAACAGCGCACGATACTATATTTTTTTACTGGATTGCTTATGAGGACCAATAAGGATGCAGAGTTTTAGATCAGGTGACTTAAGGCTAAATTCTGATTGCCTCTCGTAAAGAATTCAATCCAATAAAAAAATAGTATCGTGTGTCGTTGGCTTTAGTTAACTTGATGCCTTCTATTAACATAAATGCATAAAAAGCAATAAAATGTCTAATAATTATACATTTATCACAAATTTATTAACGTCTACAGGGTGTTAATTAAATAGCGCCCACTAATAATATAGCGTTATTCCTGACTACAAATTGAGTCGAAAAATCCTGAATCATTTTTTTCTACAATGCTCAACGAAGCAGTAAATATCGAGTAAAGCTAATCCAATCGGCGTTGTCCTTTAGACGGAAGCAGTGAGCTGTCAAGAGGATGCGTTTGGCACTTATCTAAGCATCATCTAAGCGTGGGGCGAGATAAAACAAATGAAATTTGATTGATGTGGAATTATTTCCTGTCACGGCATCATCGAAGCGTCTCGCACAAAAATTATTTTTTGCGAAAGAAAAATGTATCGGTATACTAATAACGAATATGTATTGTGTAGGTGAAGCAAATTGTGTGAGTGCGCGTGCGGAAAGACTGTATACGGAGCGCAATCCAAATCGCATGCAGATCGATCGAAAAACTTTCAAACGATTAGACTGAAGGATTCGCAATAGCGATTGTTAAATGCCGAAACCACGTATTGACGCTGGTCGTGATCGACGGCTATAAGAATCGAGACGGAACCCAGCAAACACAAAGTAACAGTTATATAACTGTAAGTTAAAATTTCCTACTCAACAATATAACTGTTATATAACACGTGTGTTATGTAACAGTTATATTGTTGAGTAGGAAATTTTAACATACAGTTATGTAACTGTTACTTTGTGTTTGCTGGGAAAAGACTCAGCTGTTGTGATATTCTTAGAATTTTCTCAGTATCTACATGTGCTGTGTGGGTAAACTATGTATTGTACGTATACGAATGTCTTACGATAATCAACGCAAATTAGCAACCAGACAGATCAGATTTTCCTCGTGATAAAGCGTAGGTATCCTCCCACGAGGCGATTTGCACAGATACGTATATGTATGTAACATATGTATAACGTTTACCACGGATGACTAGGCGGCACAGGGAGGAGGCGCTTGTGACTGTCGAGTATTGACCGGTTTTCACGATCGTGTCGACTATCGATAAAAATGGCATCGTCATTGACACCACCCATACAGCACAAAAACTTTTCAGAAATATTTCAAAAATATTTCATGTGATAGATTGAAACGTTTCATAAATATTGCAAAATGTTTCTGCAATAGCTCTGAGACAGCTATGAAACAGTAAAATGTCCGCGATTCTTACACTTGAAACTTAATAGAAGGGTTTCTGAAAAATTACTAAAAGTCGGTTTTTCCAAGTGTCAGGTAGCTTACCTCTGATAGTTAAAAAGCATATACAGGGTGGGCCAAAAGCCTGGATACACCCTAATATCTCATAAACTATGCACTTTAGAAAAATATGTTTCAGACAAAAGTTATACGGTTTTAAAAGGGCTATATAATGGTAAAATAAATTTTCGAAAAAAATTAATTTTTTATAGTTATATAGAGGTCGCCATCATTTTTTTTAATGGAACTCCTTATTGTTTATTATACTATTTTATTCTACTAATTAATATGAACAACTTTTGTCTGAAACATTTTTTGATTTGCCTAATACTTTTTGAGATATTCAAGAGAAAATTTATAACTTTTTCAATGTTTAGCTTATAATCTCTCGATAACTGTTTGTCGGAGGGAAAAGTAGTATAGGACTTTTTTACTTGATTTAGTCTCAGGAATATGCTGTTGTAAAAGTGTTCCAATATTGCAACACATAAAATTTACATACACAAAATTTTTCAATAATTGAAATACCATTGCAACAGCATATTCCTGACACTAAATCAAGTAAAAAAGTCC